TGGGATATTGATGTGTATACTGGCGGTATATCTGTAGAAAATCGATGTGTATGCTGGTGGTATATCTGTAGGAAATTGATGTGTATGCTGGTGGTATATCTGTGGGAAATTGATGTGTATGCTGGTGGTATATCTGTGGGAAATTGATGTGTTTGCTGGTGGTATGTCTGTAGGAAATTGATGCGTATGCTGGTGGTATATCGGTGGGAAATTGATGTGTATGCTGGTGGTATATCGATGGGAAATTGATGTGTATGCTGGTGGTATGTCTCTGGGAAGTTGATGTGTATGCTGGTGGTATATCTCTTGGAAATTGATGTGTATGCTGGTGGTATATCTGTGGGAAATTGATGTGTATGCTGGTGGTATATCTGTGGGAAATTGATGTATATGCTGGTGGTATATCTGTGGGAAATTGATGTGTATGCTGGTGGTATATCTGTTTGAAATCGATGTGTATGCTGGTGGTATAACTGTGTGAAATTGATGTGTATGCTGGTGGTATATCTGTGGGAAATTGATGTGTATGCTGGTGGTATATCTGTGGGAAATTGATGTGTATGCTGGTGGTATATCTGTGGGAAATTGATGTGTATGCTGGTGGTATATCTGTGGGAAATTGATGTGTATGCTGGTGGTATATCTGTGGGAAATTGATGTGTATGCTGGTGGTATATCTGTGGGAAATTGATGTGTATGCTGGTGGTATATCTGTGGGAAATTGATGTGTATGCTGGTGGTATATCTGTGGGAAATTGATGTGTATGCTGGTGGTATATCTGTGGGAAATTGATGTGTATGCTGGTGGTATATCTGTGGGAAATTGATGTGTATGCTGGTGGTATATCTGTGGGAAATTGATGTGTATGCTGGTGGTATATCTGTGGGAAATTGATGTGTATGCTGGTGGTATATCTGTGGGAAATTGATGTGTATGCTGGTGGTATATCTGTGGGAAATTGATGTGTATGCTGGTGGTATATCTGTGGGAAATTGATGTGTATGCTGGTGGTATATCTGTGGGAAATTGATGTGTATGCTGGTGGTATATCTGTGGGAAATTGATGTGTATGCTGGTGGTATATCTGTGGGAAATTGATGTGTATGCTGGTGGTATATCTGTGGGAAATTGATGTGTATGCTGGTGGTATATCTGTGGGAAATTGATGTGTATGCTGGTGGTATATCTGTGGGAAATTGATGTGTATGCTGGTGGTATATCTGTGGGAAATTGATGTGTATGCTGGTGGTATATCTGTGGGAAATTGATGTGTATGCTGGTGGTATATCTGTGGGAAATTGATGTGTATGCTGGTGGTATATCTGTGGGAAATTGATGTGTATGCTGGTGGTATATCTGTGGGAAATTGATGTGTATGCTGGTGGTATATCTGTGGGAAATTGATGTGTATGCTGGTGGTATATCTGTGGGAAATTGATGTGTATGCTGGTGGTATATCTGTGGGAAATTGATGTGTATGCTGGTGGTATATCTGTGGGAAATTGATGTGTATGCTGGTGGTATATCTGTGGGAAATTGATGTGTATGCTGGTGGTATATCTGTGGGAAATTGATGTGTATGCTGGTGGTATATCTGTGGGAAATTGATGTGTATGCTGGTGGTATATCTGTGGGAAATTGATGTGTATGCTGGTGGTATTTCTGTGGGAAATTGATGTGTATGCTGGTGGTATTTCTGTGGGAAATTGATGTGTATGCTGGTGGTATTTCTGTGGGAAATTGATGTGTATGCTGGTGGTATTTCTGTGGGAAATTGATGTGTATGCTGGTGGTATTTCTGTGGGAAATTGATGTGTATGCTGGTGGTATTTCTGTGGGAAATTGATGTGTATGCTGGTGGTATTTCTGTGGGAAATTGATGTGTATGCTGGTGGTATTTCTGTGGGAAATTGATGTGTATGCTGGTGGTATTTCTGTGGGAAATTGATGTGTATGCTGGTGGTATTTCTGTGGGAAATTGATGTGTATGCTGGTGGTATTTCTGTGGGAAATTGATGTGTATGCTGGTGGTATTTCTGTGGGAAATTGATGTGTATGCTGGTGGTATTTCTGTGGGAAATTGATGTGTATGCTGGTGGTATTTCTGTGGTAAATTGATGTGTATGCTGGTGGTATATCTGTGGTAAATTGATGTGTATGCTGGTGGTATATCTGTGGTAAATTGATGTGTATATGTAGGAATGAGCACGTATTCTTTGAAAAGTTGTGTTCTTTTTTTCGGGAAGGATCATGCTTTTCAATGGAAGTTTGTCCATTAGCATACTTGTAGTAGTACCGGGAATTATAGTCTATCCAACCTGTATATCTTCCCTAAATGGTTTTACGTCTTAGACGACAAGACGACGCCTAATTGTTACGCACTACTTTAATTTCACGTCTTGAGTGACATTGACAAATGTGACAGGCACATGCGTTTCATATCAACGGTAACAGTAGTACATCGAATAGTGACACGCATCCGCATTCATATATAATATATGGCTAGGGTGACAGTGACATATGCACAAGTGGTGTGTGATAATAGCGACACTCAGACATCGGATTCATCACGTACATGTATTTTACGTGAAATGTGACAATAGAACGCGCAAACGTGATAAACATGCGCACATCAAAAAATAGCATGCATGTGCATTTCATGTCTGAGGTGGCGAGAAAACATCACGTCCACTCACTATACACCCAATTACAACCATCTCCGGTCGGTTATAGACACGACGCTTCACCCTGACAGTTAATTAACAATCAAAATAGCTATGTTACGTTATAACACAAGACTTGTTACAGGTCTATAACTTTACTCGTAGGTATCAACGTCAGCCCTGGTTCAACCTGTCAGAGCAGCTCACGTCAACTTCGTGTGTGAAGCGAGATTGAGAACCACCAGTCGAAACGACCAGTTGCTCATGAATAAAACATCGTTTTATTCCACCGGGCGTACTACTTTTTACAATAATGTTTTCAAAGCCTATTACAGAACTTGTTTATTACAGTGTCAATGTAAAACAAGGCACTGACCAGAGAGGGAAAACTGTCAAAAATTAAACAGACAAGACAAAACTTATAAAAGTTATTTTTTTAAAGTGTCGAATGAGTAAACAAAAAGCAAATTGGAACATGGTACGTGGCGCTGCGATCATTTTGGATATCATTTTGAGAGACAGAAATCGATTTCCCTAAAACGCGGTATGAATACATTAATTACACCAACCCAAAGAAATGAGGCTTTTAAGATCCTAAAACGACCGTTCAACACGCTAAACCATTATAGAGGTACATTACACGCGCGCTTTTATTAACGACTATTTCCTCTAGGTCTCCAGGCTGGCGTTCCGTACAACGTAATGCAAAAAACATCACCACATTATGACTCCATTCATTTCTAATATATTATTTTGTGGTGGAGAAAAATCATATTATCCCAATGTCTTAGATTGATAATTATCAGATTTTCGTATGTGTTCGAACCGACGTTATCTCTTTATAGTAAAGCTTGGAACAGTCCAATTTTGATATGTCAGTAAAATGAACGACAAGTGATTTACCTCAAAGAATTAGAAATTACTTGAAGTGAAGACATTTCAATGAAAGCTAGCTGAGAAATTTGACGTTTCGAATTTATAGAAAAGTGATCTAAAAGGACAGGACATATAATATGTCACACATTTAAATTAACTTTTCTTTGTACGATTATCTCCCTTAAGGTATATGATGCCTCACACATTATACGAATGGTTTATGAAATAGCTATTTCCCTTATAGTCCAGTCATTTTACTTCAAACTAATTGCAACAGAAAATGATGAGTTTTACCATTATATTTGAGTACATTAACTTATTTAAGTTTTTCCCTTAAGAGATATGCTGCGTCATACAGTATACCTGCATGTACTTTATGCAACAGTTATTACCTTTTAGAATGTATACTACCAACCACATTAGGCATTAACTTCCTTAAGGATATATGCTACCTTGCAGAGTATACCTTCGATTTACGTAAGTAAGGATATATGTTAGCTTACACAGCAAAACTGTGGTTTCTGTAACAGTTGTGTATCCCTTAATGAATGTATGTCATTTGACAAAAAATACCTTTGATTTATGAGTTATTTAACTTGACCCGGCTACCCTACATGTACCTGTAGTTAACATGCTGTCGTTAGGTGTGTTGTATCCCTGTAGATTATATACAGCATGAAACGTGTGTACCTGTATATTATATACAGCATGACACGTGTGTCCCTGTAGATTATATACAGAATGACACGTGTGTACCTGTAGAGTATATACAGCATGACACGTATGTACCTGTAGATTATATACAGCATGACACGTGTGTACCTGTAGATTATATACAGCATGACACCTGTGTACCTGTGCTTTTGTTACAGAGTTATCTCCCTGAAGTTCAGGAATTGCATTATCTTTTACGATCTAGGCAATCAACAGATCAACAAAATCGAAATGAACGTTCCTGCTATTTATCAGGTGGCGTAGGTGGAATATGTTGATTTATTGAAACGATTAGTTTATAATATTTCTTTTTTGGGAGGGACATGTATTTTCAGTAAGTTAGCATACGCTATGTTTCCATTCTACATTTCTAACACAAAATCATATCAAAAATCGAATCCTGAAGTTAGCTTATCTTCTGTACAGTTAATTGACCACCCTTGACGGAGTCCTTCAGAATATGATTGACAGTCTGTTAGATCAGAAATCGATACGGTATAAACATCGCTTACGTCAGAGTCAGACGAATCCGATCTAGATGTCTCGTGATCTTTGAAATATTATATCATACTTTCCATGAATATTCATGCACAATATTAACACAATGATTTAGTGGAAATATAATTCATAATAACGCGCTGTAATTCTTGTTTGTAAATCAATTAGATAACTACCCATAAAGATATACTGAAAATGTATAATGAAGCACGTAAAGGAATCATAAAAAACTCCCGACACTTCAGAATGGAAATGGATTTTTTTTTATAAAACATATATATATGTCCATTCATACATAGAAAACAATATGCATAATTCCCCTGTGAGATTTCCTACTGGATGGACAATATGTGCGGCGAACCTTGTGTGAACTGGTATAAAGACCACAGTACGTATATCCATTACATTGAAACTTGTCCATACCGACAGCGTAAGGAGCAAAATACATGTATCTTGAGATTTTACAGTGAATGTTGCTGTAATAGACAGAATACTGACCAATCATCTAAGCTTACATCTTAAAGAATGAAATACGACGATCCTTTAAAGTGAAACTTGTTTAAATTGACAATATCGTATACGTTGCCATATACCACAGGTTAATTTGTACATCACGCAGTGTCGTATACGATTTTTCGCTTTATTTGAAATTTTATTTGGACAAGTTCCACAGTATACAGGTTTTCGGATCAAAAACAGGAAGATTTACATCAATTCTCAATGGATTGCTGGTCGGGTGAGACAGGAATTCCTATATGTATACATTCATATATAACAACTCATTTGGGAGGCATGGGGCCCTGAAGTTATAGACATACAAAGTAAACGGGGTAGATAATAATAGAATACAGGTATTGTTGTATATTTCTTACAGATGCTATCTCGACAAAGTCACGACCTGTACTATGAGTGGTCCGTGACGGTTCTGAGACCTGTACTATTAGAGGTCCGTGACGGATCTGAGACCTGTTCCATTACTGGTCCGTGACGGTTCTGAGGCCTGTACTATTAGTGGTCCGCGACGGTTCTGAGACCTGTACTATTAGAGCTCCGTGACGGTTCTGAGACATGTACTATTAGAGGTCCGTGACGGTTCTGAGACCTGTTCCATTAGTGGTCCGTGACGATTCTGATCATTGACACAATATCACAGTAGCTTTAAGGAATCGCACACATGCATGTCCACCACTAGGTCGTGTGTTACGTCGGTCACTGAGGTGTGACGTCACTCTCTTATATGTTACATAATTCACTGAGAAGTAACTTCGCGCACTTTATCAATAAGTCCTACACGTAGGTGTGGTCTCGAGCAATAGGAGTTAAGCCGAACACCTAACAAGGGCTTTCACACAAGTGTCATTGTAACAACAGCGGCGTGACGTCTTTACGTGACGTCATTCGGTTCTATTGTACAACATGAGTTTGACGTCTCCCTCCCCCAATACACCGAACACAGACCACAATACGTTATGCTCGTTCAATCCCAGTGCCCGAGGAAACACTCTGTCGGTATGTATGAGTCTGAGGTACTGACCATGTCCGGTCAGAAGGTGGATACAGCGATTGTCCGTATCACCAATCACAAGACATCCGTCACTGTCATATCTTGCGTCACAGGGATAAAACGAATTCGTTTCACCCCTCACCGTTACGTCCCTTGGGGTGTTTCCATGGTATCGAAACAACTCTTGGAAATTCTTGTTCATAACAAGCACATATGGCCTATCGTTCCCGCCATCATCTGACCAATCCAAATCGACCACGGCAAAGTTTCGGGTCATGTGACATTCCGAGATCCTGTGTGGTGTGCATACACACGAGCCCTTAAAACGCGCCGGTCTACAAAACAAGGGCAGACAACTTAGTGACGAGCTTGCAGAGGTAGAGAGTAAAATTTTACCGTTCGTGCTGTATTTTGTTACACGTTTTTCCATGCCTACGATGACTTGTTCATCTAATGTGACACATACACTATACGGTCTGTAGTCGGTCTGGAAACGAATGGACGGAGTTTCCTCTGTGCACTCCATGATGCTGTGGTCCTCGTGTGAGCATGCCCAGAGGTTCTGTGTGGTCGGGGAAACATCGACGTCCTTGATGTTAACGCCGTAACCTATGATGACCTTGACCTCTCCGTTGTGATCAATGTATCTGACGTTCTTGCTGGCATAGTCACATATCCACGCCCCGCCCTCTCTGTCGGGACTAATGCCGGTGATGGGACACGGGGACCGGAACGCAGACACAATTTGCGTTTTAGGTATACGTTTGTATAAACTCCCTGGCATTGTCGATGGCATCGCGCCCTGTTTTGCTACTTTGTGAGTCCCTGTGAATACAAACTCACATTAGCACAAATTATTGCGAGCACGTTATTCTTGAGCACAAGCTCATATGAGCAGAAACTGTATATAAAGCACAAACATATTCGGCACAAAATCCATTAATATGCCCATCTCCAAACCTTTACGCCAGGCTTATAACACATTGAGTACCAAATCCATTCTTCGAGGCTTCTTCGAGTCAACACTAAATATTCCAGCAGACTATCTAGACGAGAGACACTTATCTATATCACTACTCAGAACGGTAAAATGGCGATGTACAAGACATGCATGCGCGTAATTTCTTGTGTCATGTGTCTGCTCGTGATTTCTACGTGTTAACATTCCTGTAACATATTGTGTGCCTCTCTATCGGTTCTATAGCGACCCAATGGTTAGTAACACACCACTCCCTTCACGTCAACTTGTGTATATATGTATAATTTGCTCTGTCTTGTGAACTCTCAACATGTTGTGTCAAAAATGACCGTTTTATGAGTTTGCCACTGTGAGGATGGTTCCGGAAGCCGTACACGTAGGGTCTCAATGATGCTGAGATAATTGCACGTGTAAAACGTGTCAATATCCACATATAACCACGAGGTCAAAGGTCGTTATTGCAATACCGTAAAGAATATCACATCACTAAGTAATAACGACCTTACAACACACACAAGTTGCAATGCTGTATGATGTATCTATATTCCAGTGTGACATCCCAGTGCACGTGCATCTACGCCACATTCCAGCAGCCAAGATGAATTAATTATATCACATACGTTGTGGGATGTATCGCACTTGTAACTACAAATATTGAACGCATAAATCGCTCAAATACGCCGTTTCCTTGGATCCGTTATTTTCCGTAAGACAATGTGTATGTTTTGAATCGACACTCCCCCGTTGTGTCTGATCGAGTTAACACACATAAAAGTAATATACATTATACCGTTGAAACACCAGTTAGAGGCCCGACCGAGATCTGTTTGTCCGTGGGGCGTCAATATCACAGCCAAGTAGGTATTGTTTCACGATGTCGAGAAACCAAATCAAGCGTGTATCTAATTAACCTTCGTCATTATTGGTAATGTGTTTGTTTTAAGTCTGTCCGGATGTAACCTTTAACCCCGGGTTGTTTTGACATTTGCTATTTTAATGCCAAGATTTGAGGATATTTTTGTTCAGACACGCATTATTGTGTAACAAGAGGTCACCTCTATATATATTAATCTACAGTAAGTATTGTTTTATCAATATCTGTCTAAAACAATAACCAGTCAGACTTAATTACCTTAAATATTTACTTACCAAGAAATAATATTCGGTACACTTTCCGTTTGGTCTTCTACAGCTTTGCACAAATATATTGTTTTCAAAAACATGTATTTTCTTTTGGATTGATCTTGTGGCAGTGATGCAAATGACAAATTTGACAATAAAAGGTCAAGATATAGGACTACTTTATTTAAGATGGTATCTTACACTTTTCTTCGAGAAAATCTTTGTTCAACTGTACAGGTACCTGTCACGCAATACCTGTCTAATCCTACCCTTGCGTATTCTGACATCCTGTAGTACTCGACATACAACTTTGATCCGATTTCGTATATAAATAACTAACAAACTTATACATTCTGGCATTCTGTCTTATCCGAACAATTTGTTAGACCTCAAAAGGGGTCGGATTACGTAGGCTTCACTGTAGTAGATTATTCTGATTTGAAACTTTTTACGTAGCTTATCTCTGTAGTCACGTGACTTCCAAATCGAAATAATTGCATGCCGGTCTAGTGATCTCCATTTTATCATGTGCAGCTCTGGTCGTAAACACAAACATGACTAAACCGTCCAGGAACATATATTGAAATAATTATTTTCAAACCCATTGTTTTTAAATAGGTGTTGAACAAACACTGGAATCAGGCTGATTAGCAATCAAGGCGAAAGGTTTCCACTGAAACTACACGTAAAACAGAACCCGGTTAGTCCGAAATGAAGGAGTGAACTTCGTTAGTCCGGAAACTGTGGTTTGCATGTTCAAATAAACTCTTAAGTCCGGAACAGTGGTTTGCATGTACAAATAAACTCGTAAGTCCGGAACAGTGGTTTGCATGTACAGTTGAACCTTATTAGTACGGACACTTGCACTGGCAAAACATATTTTTTTAATGAATTTATCACTGAAACAAGAAATCGGGCTTAAGCGCAGAATCTAGGTTGGAGCATGAGAACGTAATGCCGTAGTCTATGGCTATCCTGTGGAGACATTTCAGTGAGATTGCGCTATGAAATAATCGTTCAGTAGCTTAATAGCTCAGTCACGCCGTCCTCATACATATTTCACCTGAGACCTCACACAACCATTGCAGTGATTGGAATAAAATGACGCAAACACAAACTTGATTCAACCCAATCATAATTTAATTATCAATGTAACGTTTTATAAATCTCTCACAGAATATCACTCACTCGCACAGTGAAACATCTAAAATCTTACAGACACATGATTATAAATTAATTTTATATGTACAAAGGACTTAAATAAACAACAATAGCAGCATACATCTGGCCGCATACGATTTAGTATTTAAATGATTAAGAACCAACTCCGACCTCCGACCTTCGTTATTTACTCTATCTAATATTACTCATCCCTGTGATATATCCCTACCATACTACACTCACAGCAGTTATTTATTATTTGATTATCACATGTCGGCCCCCTGCTATTTATAGGCTGTTGGATATACCATACAGATAAGCAACGTGATTTGTAACATATGATGTAGAGAAATGAATGGCCAGATTAACACAAGCGGAGGCACAGGAGCTAGGCACGTTCATAATACGGTTGTACGAATAGTGTTTCATATTAAATTCCTTACCGCCATGATATTCAGTGAAAATTAGCAAATGTCGAGCCCCTGTGATTTATAGCGTATTGGATGAAAATGTGATTTGTTACAGATGGTGAATATTACAGAATGAACCAAACTAGGATCAAATGAATACCAAACCGATGTACAGTGTAACTATACTCTAACGTACAGACTGAAGTAATATTTTAATTTATCAATTTGACTTGTCATTTTGACCGCAAAAATAAATCCAGAGAAAAAGGGCGTTTGGTAAATCCATGTAAATAAAAATTGAAATAACCTATCAGTGACAAAAACACAGCCTCCAGATAAACATGGTATTCCAGATAAACATGATATTCCAGATAAACATGGTATTCCAGATAAACATGGTATTCCAGATAAACACGGTATTCCAGATAAACATGGTATTCCAGATAAACACGGTATTCCAGATAAACATGGTATTCATGAAAATAGAGTGTTGAATATAAATAGGGTGTTCTCACAGAAACTGCTCACAATTCATTTTTCGTTTGGGTCGCTATCCATGTATATACATACAGTTAAGTTTGCAAAGCAACCCAAAGCAGCAAGATATTCCAGAAAACACAATATTCTAAATAAACAGGAACTTCTCGGATAAACATATTATTCATGGCGAAACGCAGAGTTCTAGAAATCCTATGTTATATTCAATGACGTGAACAACTGACAAAATGTCTACTTCTTCGTGTCATTGCTGACCTGACGCACACAGAAACAACAGCACGTTATGTTTTGGATTTCAGGGCGCAGTCAATGGGAACACACGAACGGCGCAAAAGTGTTCCTATTATGAGTCGACATTTATCTCTCTCATATCACACATCCACGAACATTTACCAATCAGGACATCAATTGAAAATATGGATATTTAAATTTATCCAAATGAAAGTTTACAATTCATCTGTTTATCTTTTATATTTCAGTCCTTTTCAAGTAGTACTATTGATGATGCTGCTCGACTCGAATGATTTGTCTAGGCTCCGTCACGTGGTGGTCACGTGATCCACAGCTTTACGAGAGGAACGCATCGTACCTAATTCTCTTGCATAAACACACACCAGAGATGATGCCAAACAGCTGAAATGATAGAGGACATTTTTAAGTAAATACAAGATGTTAAACGATCAACATTCTATTTTAATATGAAAATACGTACACAACTTCTTGGCAAAATGCACAGCGTCAGTAAACAGCGGTTACGTTACGCCCTAACTAAAGTAAGGAGAGCACTAGACCGTCCTCCTCGATACTCCAGGGGTAACGCTCACTTTAGAAGGCGTAAATGGACGTAACCCCTGGGGTATATAGGATGTCCTGGGGTATCGAGGATGTAGGCTGTTGACATGTATACATCTCCCCTTTCCAAAAATATTCTATTCTAACTGCACTATCGATACCATTGTGTATATGCTTTGTCCCTAGATCCTAGAATATCACATTTGTATAGTAATTAATCTTCCCTTCGTTAAACGCATGGAATCTCTTTATTTCTACAATATCCTTGTCGATATGCGGAGGACCAAAAATGTCGCTTTTATTGATTAAACATTGCAAAGTAACATATATATATATAAATGAAAGAAGATCTATTTTGTTAAAATGAAAAATGAAAACTTTTAAGACGTTATCACAATGTCAATACAGTGTTACACAACCGGCATTTTCGCTAGTTCCGGCCGAATAAGCTACAGATGCCTCATTGACGAAAGTGGTGGATTTATTTTGCAAATAAAATATCGAATTCAATCATCTACTCTCCGTTCCTGTACGAGTGTATGACTGACACTATAATGCTTGGGGTAAATCTATACTAATAAATTACCAGGAACTGTAGGTGTTACCTTGCGGTGAAACAAATGACTTGTTTATGTGGTGAATTGTCACCTACAAAAAATATGATTATATACAATGTCCCAGCGATAAAAGACAAGTTGTATAGTTATCTATAATGACAGGTTATGCCTACAAATCGAACACTTTGACTGTTCCGGAATTCTCCGGTGGGGACTTTCGCTCAACACAGACCCGTCTTCCGTTTCCACTATAACATAATCCCTGCTCCTGGGAGAATGGCGGGAACGAATAGGACACATCACGCGAGGCTACACGCCAGCAGTTTACAGAAAACTGTTAGAAATGAAATGTTATGACCAAAACAATATAAGGAGGAAACTTGCTGTCGACCATTTGGGATAAAAGTGTCTAGCAGTGTCGTGTAAGAATGCTTTGTCGATATCTCGCCTCTCCGCTATCTCGTTAACTATTCCACACATGCAACGTGACTTGGCTCACGTGGAAATGTTCTTTTGTTGTAATCTTCACACGTTCATATACTTTCAAGTGTGTTCAAACAAACGAATTACTAAAAAAAATATCGTAAACATTTCCAAAAAGTAGGATACATATCTAGATATTGCGCATTAAGTATGAATCTTTCCCAATCTATCCTTGTATATGTAGCCCTACTAGGTTATAGACATTTGTTTTCATTATGGAGACCTAAGATAAGATATTCTTTATTAAAATCAAATGGATTAAGTAGCAATTCTAATAGAAATTCGAAATTTGCGAAGAATATTTGATAGTTTATCAAAATTATCAATTATACTGTATTTCTGTTGAATATGAATTTATAAACATTTAGTGGAATTGATTTTTTGAGATGTTTTTGTTAATTTGGTAGTTTTAGAACGGTTGAAAAAAATAAGTTTTGTCAATACTTCTAAAAACTTTTCCAACAAGGGAGACAAATCGTTTTAGCCGAAATCGGCCAACTTTACATCCCTTTGTTATGCTAGTATACAATGTCACAAATGAAATATAAGATTCTCATCTTTTGAACTACATGGTGATATGTATTTCAACGATTTCAGTAGGTGTCAGTAACTAATTCAACGAGCCGTGAAAAAACCCGGCCACTTGCACATTCTATTCTATACTTTATTAACTTTAAGCTTTCCAGCTCATCAGTGTACATGTAACAATATAAATACATTGGCAGACACTGCAAAACGCAGTGGAGAATGGACAAAAGATTTGACACATTTAAATGTCATTATATCATAGTCTTCCTCAATTTAGTGGCATCATATTTATATTTGCTAAACCTGGTTAGTTCTTTTACATTTGTTGAGCACAGTAATTGTATTAACTTAAGAACAGATGGTTTTTTCCAGTAAAACATTATTATACACTTTGATCTGAGCTCTTGGTATATAGGACAAATAAGCAAAAAATGATATTATGCACGGTCCCATAGAACACATGTCGCGCTAAATGAACCACACACGACTAGAGCACTTGTTTATAAAGTACATTATACGTCAGTATATTGATTTCTATTTCGCGATCGATTACCGTTTTACTAGAGTAGGTGCCTTATTTAAATAAAGTCGATATAAAGACTACATCTATCAATTGACATAAGACTTGGTAAAGTGCTAGGAAGCTGTGCTGTTAACTGTGTGTGCTCGTATCCTGGATTCTGTCTCAAAGCCACTTTTCTGCTGATACAATAAAACAAAATCGGCGGTGAGGTAATTTCTTATCAATGCCATAAACGATGACGCTGTATTCACAGGCAACGTACAGTGACATCGGCCACAGTACAATGAACTCTTTTGTTGGATACACGAGTCTATTCACCGGTACACTCCTCCTTAATTTTACATTCATCTTAGGTTTTAATATTTATATGTAATGCATACAAGATAACGCAAAGCGTGACATTATCCCCCGCGCCCCGCTGTTTAAAAGAAAGACACACAATCATATATAAGTATCATATATATATGTTTTAAATATTACAATAACAGGTATTAACTCCATTCCACCACTGTTACTGATATTTTGATGTAGATCATCTTTTATAAAACACTGATGACTTCCCCATCAAAAAAGGCTTGATAAGAGCACTAGGTTCATAAGTGTACAAAACTTCATGTATACATCTTTAATGCAAACGGCTCCAATAGAGTGCTAGCTTGATAGTTACACAAAGTATCCCTTGGACTTTATGCAGGATAGGTTGTCAATAAATATACATGATTTATTTAATTGTTAATGTCTAAAACATGAACAGAAAATGATTAAACAAAAGTTGTAAAATGTTCATTTCACAAGCTAAATTGGAGTTATCTCCCCTGTACTGTTTAATTGGATTATTATGACAGAATAGAAAGGACTTAACTAGGCCTAGCCTGATGTCCAATCCACTTGACATATATAAAGTCAATAAAATCTGTTGAAATAGTTACACAAAGTTTCAGGTAGTTATCTTGAACGGTTTTGGAGTCATGATCCATACAACTGAAATTTGTAATTTGGCCTATCTGTTTCCATGGTAACAGAAAAAAATAATTTAAATAGGGAACTTCTCCAAAGCAAAAGGCACTACTAGAGTACTAGCTTGATAACTGTACAAAGTTTTGAGTAGTTATCTTGAACGGTTTCATAGCTCTGGTCCGGAAAATGTAAGTTGGCCTATCTGTTTCCATGGTAACAGAAAAAGTATTTAAATGGGAAATTTCTCCATAGAAAATGGCACTACTAGAGTACTAGCTTGATAGCTGTACAAAGTTTTTGAGTAGTTATCGACACGGACGGACGGAGCCCAATTTAATATCCCCCGCAAACGCGTTTCGCGAGGGATAAAAGGGCAACTTATAGGTACACGCTTGATTCACCACGTTGTTCTTGTCTGTGTCTTTAATATAGATTGTCCAATACACGTAGCTTTCTGAGCTATAAAAGTACAGAGAACAGATTCTCGGGCGCTGAATTAAATATCCTAAACGATGGCTAAAAGGATATTGTCTGGACGGTTGTAGTAAAACCCACACAATAACTACAATTATTGCATCTTGGGACTACAACTATTGGCCGGGGCTTCCTGGGGCTAACGATAACGGAGAATGTATAGTAGAGTACACCTCCAACACGACAGCGCCTCTCCCCCCGATGGTGTCTCGCTATGCAATTCTGGTTAGAACCAGAAAAGTTAACACGAGTGCGGTGTCATGCTACATGAACGGTCGATGTCCAAGTTGTGACTGTGATATGTCACTTTAAGATGATCAGTATACGTATCATTGTAATAATTGATATTTTACTATAATTGGCGTATACACTTCTCTGCAATTTATTTCAGTTTCAGAATTTGAAATGTGATTGTGTGGCCCCATCAGCTGTGGACACGTCATATGAGCTGTTACCATGTGATATATCACTCAGAAAGATATTCACCCCAGGACATTCAGTGTTATGTAATGTACATAGTGTATATAAACATTTGCGCGCAATCGGAAACGAACTAATTATAGAATTTTGAAAAAAAATTAAGGCATCGAAACACTCCAACGAGCTTACTGTGAGACATTTCAATTAGTGGAACACGTTTGGAAAGGAGACGTACCAATAGTCTCAGGCTGGGGTTACCGTGCAAACACTGTGACTCACAACTATATATACTACGCTAAAAGTTAACGTAGTGCGGTACCAAGTCACGTACCTAGAAATACAACTACTATGGCGTTTGAATTCTGCCAAAATCAAACTTCCGGTTAATCAACTAAACTTCCGTTCTATACTTACAATTATAACGACCGCCACTAGCGCTCCCCCTCCGATGATTAGGGCGTGGCCCTGTACGTAATGGACAACCTCGTCATAGCAACCCTGTGATATTAAAACAGACATCCAATAAACATCACCGTTATAAATCACTACTGACATGGTAGCCATGTTTCGCGTATTCTTGTTTTGGCGATTTGCGCTTCAAATACGAGCGAAGATATATATTCATGAAAGGAATACACAGGAAGGATATATTGGAGATCCTNGGGGGAGGGTTCGTGGAGCCCCAAAAATACTCTGGATCCGCCACTGCACTTGACTTAAGAAATATTTGTAAAATAATTAAATTTTTAATTAGTATAGTGCGCATGATTTGTATACCCTTCACCTCGACGCTCAGTGTGTGGTTAACAGCAGTCAGATTGACAGCTAATTGTGTAAGGTCTTCTAACATCGCAACGCAATTAAGACGCCGCTGTTCATCAAACTGCACTGTACAACAATCGGATTGTGAAATCGAGAACTAGCTCCAAGAGAATCTAAAAAAAGTGTTAATCTGTGGGAGCCATTTTGATTTAAAAGGAAAGACTCGAACCAATTTGGGTTAAAAACTGAAAAAGTGAATTTTAATATTTGAAACAACCAGGACAAAAAAAAAAATCATTTGAGGATTACATAACTAAAATTTAGGTAGTGAAAAATAGTCTATTTTTATTTGTTCACGGCGATAGCTTCATCCATGATGATGCAAGAACTATAGTTTTGTTTGTGTATAAAAATCACGAAAATATGTATCCGTGAATATTAAGATATTTAAAGTAATTAAATTATATAAATGTACCGACCACCATTAAGTCTGTTACCTACCGTATCGTACATGTGTGGGTTTCTGCCAGTACCGGGTAGGAGGGGAACATCAGCCCCAGGGGGACCAGAAAACGTCTTCATCCCTGTACACAGCTCCAGGTCACCCTCGGGCCGACAACAACTGTCAGGCACGTATGGTATCCCTGGGGTGGGGAGGAGTACATAAGAAATTAGGTTCAATAAACAATTACACTTGTGGAAACGCTGAACAAACTTATCAGCAAAACCCACACTAAACAGTTCCAAGAATTTTGTGTTATCAGAGAGCGTCAAAAAAGACAATATTTGTCATTTTAAAACACACAAGAATTAAAAAATACTATCCATCATCTGTTAATAAATGTGTAAAGTGTCGAGTTCCAAAATAGTGAAGTATACAATAGAATATATAGGCGTATAGGATAGACGAATTTCATATCAATTGGAAGATCATTCGGCACTTTTCGGTAATAACGCCGGAAATACCCGATCAGATTTCCAATACTTTTGGAATAAGTGTTTCCTACGAGCAGTTTAAACTAACAAACATCCAGGTGAAAAGTACTTCCGATTGAAAAGAAATATAACATTTTAGTAGGTTAATATAAAATAATAATGTTAAACAAGAGGCCCATGGGCCTTAACGGTCACCTGATATATTTATACAGAGAGTTGATTTTTGTTTTTAACATGAACAGAGGTATTATTCAAAGTGACAAAAAACAATAAAACCACCTTATTCAATATCTAGCATGCAGATTTAAGACTGAAAAGTATTTGAAACTAGCACCTCTGATTCTAAACAAGGAAAATGAAGACATTTTAGCACACAGACTCCATTGGGCCCCACCAACCTACAGGGTCATGAAATTCACAAATTTGGTAAAGCCCCTGAAGACCCTTCCATCTATGAAGAGTATTTGATTCTACCATATCTGGGTCTTGAGAAGAAGATTTTTGAAATTTCAGTCAATTCGACCCTTTTTGGCCCCACCCATCAGCCCCTGGGGGTCAGTCAGTGGCTGATATGTGCATACTATCAAACTGCTACCCAATACCGATAATGCTAACCTAAATTGAATTACTTCCAATGGCAATTAAACAAATGTTGGTCCAAAATGTGATTTCCCTATATAAACTATAGTAAAGTTTACCCCCTCCCCAGGGGGAAACGTGACACCCCAGGGTCAAGAAATCCACAATTTTGGTAAAGCACCTTAAGACCCTTCAATCTATGAAGAGTATTTGATTCTACCATATCTGGATCTTGAGAAGAAGATTTTTGAAATTTTAGTCAATTTGATCCTTTTTGGCCCGCCCCTCAGGCCCCTGGGGGCTGGGGACCATATAATTTTAGTGACCTTTGGCCATGGAAGGTTTCTGCAAAATTTCATTGAAATTGGTTCTGGGGTTTTGGAGAAGAAGTCGAAAATGTAAATTGTTTACGGACGCACGACGGACGACGCCGGACAAAAGGCGATCGCAATAGGTCACTTGAGACTTGGTCTGAGGTGACCTAAAAATCAATAACCAACTCACAAACTTACCTGCTGAAAACTGTTCATACCACTTTGACTCCAGCTTGTACGCCGCCCAGGAGGTGGTAGAGTTCGCTCCCCCGGAGACACCACAGCATTGTAACTGTGGATAACAATCAATGTAAAGGAAATGGACGACCACTAAGGATCATGTGAACCTACAATGTTCATTCTGACTGACTTACGGAGATTCATTCCATGTTTTACACCTTCAAGACATAATAATGCAGGTATTTTTTCTTTCCTTTTTTCGGTCTTTTTCATTCTCCTTTTGTCTTTTTCCTTCGTTTCTTCAAGAGAGAAGATTTTCTTAAACTTTAGCTGAATGCCACTCAATCCCTTGCCCTTTATATCGCAGTATTTGGCTTACCTATATCAAACCTCCCTCCCCCACCCCATTCCCACATCCCCTCAAAGAAAGAAGGAAATGACAAGGAGAGCCACATTACGAGAATTGAAGCTCGGAACAAGTATAAATAAAACCCGTTAAAGGTTAATACCAATGTTATGACCGATACAAAACTTTTACGGTTGAGCAGTACGAAGCGCGTGCATTTGGGTGGGTAAAAGCGGGCGGGGATATGGATCTGGCGTTAATGATATGTCTCCTTGGAGTACAATAAACAAATCGTAGGCGGTGATTTAAGGTTTTATCAAAACTTCACTTACAGATCTGACTCAATTTACATGAACCGAGTGATATTTGTCTGTAAAATGACGATACAAATGACGACAAAGCCCCGAGTGTTAAAGACGATACACTACTGTCGTGTCAGACAAGTGGGGAAATGTCAAACCCAGGTCCGGTACAACACTACATCTTATTATATATTCTCCTGACTTTTAAGATTACATTGGAATAACAACAAGAGGCCCAATGGGCCTGCATCGCTCACCTGGTATAAAACTCTTGTAACCTGAAAAGTGATCTAAAATAAAGCTAAAGGCAAAATATCAGTATTTATGATAAAAATTCATTCAAAAGACCCTGTTATTTTTTTTTTAAACATTTTACCCCTGTGATTGAAAGTCGAACAATGTCATAATGTTGAACACATTGTATAGCCTTTCATCTCAGGATGCAACTTGCAAAGTATAAACATCCTGGGAACCATGGTTATTCAGAATAGGTTGTTTAACGATTTTAAACAAATTTGACCCCTGTGACCTTGAATATAAGTCAAAGTCATTCACTTTAACAAACAAAGTAGTCCTTGATCCCAGCATATGCTACTTACTAAATATCAACATCATGAGCCTTTTGGTTATTCAGAACAAGTTGTTGAAATATTTTGAACATATTTGCTCCTTGTGACCTTGAATATGATTTAAGGTCATACATTTAAACAAACTTGGTAGCCCTTGATCCTAGTATGCTACTGACTAAATATCATCACCCTGAGCATTTTGGTTATTCAGAAAAAGTTGTTTTAAGTTTTTAACATATTTGACCCCTGTGACCTTGAATATGGGTGAAGGTCATGCATTTGAACAAACTTTGTAGCCCTTCATCTCAGCATGCTACTGGCCATATATCATCACCCTGTGCATTTTGGTTATTCAGAAGAAGTTGTTGAATGTTTTTCACATATTTGACCCCTGTGACCTTGAATATAGATGAAGGTCATTTATTTGAACAAACTTTGTAGCCCTTTATCTCAGCATGCTACTGGCCAAATATCGACACCCTAGGCCTTTAGGTTATTAAGAAGAAGTCGTTTAAAGTAAAATATTGACGCCGGACGCCGGACGGACGGACGGACGGACGGACGACGGACGGACGCCGGACGCCGCGCCACGGCATAAGCTCACTTGGCACTTCGTGCCAGGTCAGCTTAAAATGAAATCCACATGCAAATAAACAATACCTGATTAACACGTACTAGCCGGCGTCGGGAGTCCGTATAAATAAAATGCTTGTGATCCCCGAAAACAAATATCCGCGAATATGTCTTGCTGAACAGTACGTAGCCACGCCTCTGTCCCTGAGTACCTCTGTCACAAGCTTCACGAACGTTCCTTGATTTAACGTTTTTTTACCTTAAGTTTGTTTGTTTGGGTTTTTTCTCAGCGGGATGTATTACATCAATATTTAGTTTTTAGATTGTTTTTAGACTGCAATCCAAGGGCGGATGTTGCTTGGGGTTCGTTTCTAACTAAGATAATGAACAGAAAAAATAGTTGGGGATGTATTTTGTTTTTCCTTCCTTAAATACAACCCACTATTTATCTGTACGTATTATATCCTAGACGTACATTGTACATGTATATTATAATTAGAAACGACCCCCTGTAGTTGCTGTGTGATACCAATTATACTAATGATATTTACTCAATTTGTTTTCAGAACTCGAACACATTCGTTACAGCCGAGACAGGAACCTCGGCTGATTGTTAATTAAGAAGAAAACTAGTTTAGCCAACAACCTCTTTCAACACACTAGAAGATTGATATACCATTATATTCAAATAGCGGAACAGACCTGGACGCCCCATGACGTCAGAGACATCATATTTCAGACACTGACCTATTTCAATCATTAACCGCTGAATAAATAAAATGTCGTTTTCCTCCAACGACACGAAGTCAAACTGTCGCCAAATCATCAGTTTTCCATGTGATTTTTTACAAAAACAATCGAATACTTACTTTTCGTTTGTCTAACAGTCATCACTAGACTCTCACGTGAGGACAGCTGGTTATGCTTACCGTTACATCGAACGATGTACGGAGTTACATGTGAATTGCATGTGGTGATGTCTACATTTACACAGGGACATGTAACCTAAATGTTTATTACAAGAGGTAACACTTCAATTAATGCCTTAATTACGGGGGCAAAACGAAAACGTGATCCAAGAGGAATAACTCTTGGCGCCTCACCTGTTTCTGCATGAAGTTCCACATGTCCGTAACGACCCTGTTGTCGGCGCGTTCGTCTAGGTCCACTCCGTACTGCTCCGTCAGAATTGACGTCATCGATACTTTGGCGTCCTTGGAGATCTGAAAACAATCATTTGCACAGTCGTTTAATATTATATTAATACTAAGGAATCACGATAATTTCTGCGTTAATTCCAATATTACTTCTCCTGACTTAAATCACGTATATGCACGTTAGTCTATAGTTAAGCAGTACGACTGCGATGAACACTATATATTTACTTTATGTACTGTAACGCACCTCAGAGTAATTTCATAATGTATATAAGTCGTTTACAAATGTTGTGTATTGTTATTTTATTATATGCTATACCTCGCCCTAAAATCTAATAAACCGTGGCTTATTTCCGTTTTTAGTCAGGAATCCCATGATATACTCGAGGCCGGTCTTGCACTTAAGACTGTATGGCGATGCATATATCATCATTTTCAACTTATCCTTCAAAAAACATAATAAAATCACTCTGTTTATCATATTTTTTAAATTATTCACATGAAATATTAATGAAATGCAAGCAAATCCTTGAAAATGAAAGTACATAGAGAACGATATAAATCCATTCCGTTTAAGGAGATATGCCACCTTACACATTATATCTGTGATTTGTGTTGTTCGCATGATTTAATCCCAGTCTTATCAATGACTACATAATCGTGGACCTTTCTAAATGTGTCATCATTTAATCGACCAAGTCCAAAAGCCAATTCCAGTACTAGTACCAGGGTGGGTTCTTACTGTCGAACCCTTTTGAATAGGATATATCAATGTCAGTGTGTGGTGGCATATGTCCTTAAGTGTATATTTCCAAGTTAGATGTTATCGTATGTCCGATCGACAATTATACTCACTTGCCCAAGGAATATGAAAATAAGGACGGCAGCTGTCAGCAACACGACAAATATGAAGCTCATGAACACCAGATACTGGACAAGAAAGAAAACATGTTTAAATCTAAGCCGTGTTTACAGTATGCTATAAATCATGTCTCCTCATGGTAAGTACCACAGATCATTAGCTCATGCGATGTATAGTAACTCCTGCCCAGTGAATTTTAAATATTAAAACATTGATAACGCAATACAATATTAGAGACCGCCATCATTCCGTTTAACCTTTTCAGAGGTGCCTATCTACGTGACTGTGGTAAGTACATGGTTAAATGAAATGGCAGGGTAATTGGTCATATTCCCAGTCCACGGTGTGAGGTTTCAGTGAAGTAGCACCCTAAAATGACCTTGAAATACCCAATCACTATGAAGCATATAACGTCACATACCATTCCCAGAATGCATTTGCTTTCTTTGATTGAGCCACAGCAGCCACACATAGAGATGGCTGTTATAGCGGCTCCTGCTGCTATGGCAACGTAAGCGGCATCGTGATACAGGTCGTTACCAAGCACAGAAGATAGTTGTTTAGCGCCATAATCCGAAACGAGACTGAAAATCCCGAGGGCTAGCACTGCTGATCCGGCAAGCTGAAAATATAACCCACCAACAGACTATACTGACAGACTCCTATAAAGTACTCATGCGGGAGCTCCAACTAAAGGGGTTGTCTCTATCATAATTACACACGATTAAAAGAATTTCCAGTTAACCAATAATAAAGACCTTCAAATAATTCAAAATATTGTCTGAACTATATCTTACTATTTTTATTCTAGCTTTTTATAATAAAACCCTATTATTTGTCAATATCAACGAGATTTTTGTGTTTTAAGTGTTCTGAACATATTATCGCGTTTCTGAACATTTTAGCACGAAATAAGATTATTTAGCAAGTTTACGTAAATTATCAGTGAATGAATATTACAGTTACAAAGGTTTACGTTAGATTAGCGAATTATCCGCATAGATCATAGATATTTAAGACGGATTGCAATAAATGATAAGCAATGATACCGACACTACTTACAAACACGATGAGGTTGAATATGATGATGGCCGACTTCATACATCCTTTACTTTTGGACCCAGACATGACGGCTGAGGAAGGGAATGAAAACAAAACAGGATTAAACACAAGTACAAGCATACAGATCTTATGACTGTGAACGTCCATTTATAAAACTGAACGACAATATGCCGATACCTATTTGATTCAATGTACAGGTATTTTGCGAAGAAATAACTATATAACGTACAAACAATTAAGTATTGAAGATACAAGATGGCATCATAGCAATGTTGTCAACATACAAAAGAAAATGTATAATCATTGTCAGTGGCACAAAGCTGGAACATACACGATTGATCAGATATTAAGTATAGCCTTTCTTTTAGAAGTAGCCTGAATTAGATACTTACTAAGGTTTCTCAATTGTTTTACATTTTTGCAGGAGAATAATTGTATTAATTTATAGACGGACGGACGACGGAAATAAAAGTTAGTGACTAGGTGAGGTAAAACTGCATGTCGTAATGATCTACGGTAGATTTATACAACCTACATTTGGAGGCGTTTTCAAATATGCTTCTCAATTCTTGGATAAAAGTATCTTGTACACGTTGGGTGTATAAAAATACGAAATGTTTTTCATTAGAAACACACTGAGCCAACCAATCATCATGAAAGCCAATTCTACCTAATTCATGCTTGACTTGATATACAAAATTAGTTTTACAATTTGTTTTTTTAAGATTTAATTCGACAAGCTCATCGTAACAAGATCTCAAAATGCACTTGTCAGTTTTCAATAATTTTAACCAGTACTTTATAATGGATATTTTACGCTTTATCTGTAAAGGAAATCGACCTAACTCAAAGTAAACCATAGAATTATTTACAGACAATTTTACTCAGAGAACTTCTTTCAGGAAATGGAAATGAACTTTTTCAATTTGTGTTGCAGGACAGAATCCTTAGACTTCACAAGCATAGTTAAGTAAACAAGTGATATAAGTGTCGAATAATGACAACTTAGTTTCACAGTTTAACATAAAATTCCTAAAATTCCTTTTCAATAAAAATAAAAAAGCTTTTCTACCCTTGGCAGCAATGTTATCCAATGCTGAAGTAAATCTGCCATTATAATTGAATACTAGCCCCAGATAACAAAATTTGTCTACTATTTCAATAGGCCTACCAATGGTTAATGATACTGTTGTCAGTTCATTATACTGTAACGAATGAATAAGAGGTGTACCCGATCACCCCGGTGTATCACCTATATGTCACTAGTCAGTTACGTCACCATGGTAATTAGTCTTAAACCTCACGATCCTGTCATCAATTTATCATAGCTATTTACGATATTTACCGATATTTTCATAATCATAAAAATCAGAAAGCAAACGATGTCCATTCAAAATTCTCAAAATTCTCATTTTCAGATGAAAACAAAAATGTAAAAATAAATAGTTATTTGTTAATTTGTGTATTATATATGTGTTCGATTCGGAAACCTTAGAAGATACGCGTTAACTGTAACCGTAGCATGCATGCTTAGCGCCCGTCATGCAAACAGATGCTTACGGGATTGGTTTTTCACAAACGCGTGCGAAAAAGATCCTAGTGTAGTCTTTGTGAGGAGTTCTATCACCTTATCAATTAAATTAACGTTTTTGGAGTGAAAACAGTGAAAATGACACGATTTTAAGAAATATGAATTCATATTAGATATTTTAGTGTGACGTCATTAGAACTACAGTCATTGTCATCAATTAAATAAAGTTTTAAATAAACTTACCTGTATTTCTTGATGCCTAGTATTATCCGATGTACCCTTTCACAGCCGTGTATCTGTACGCACCTAAGTTTCACTGCCCCGTAAGGTCGGCCTACTTCCGTGTTTGTCACGTCAAAAGTGACGTATACCCCGGGGCTAACACATACCTGAGGTATTTACACCTTTTAGCTTACGTATATCCACAAACGTATGTCTTGTAACACCTTCATACCTATTTAGATAGCAGGAGAGATGTCTAGCTAACTCCAATAATGTTTTGGAGTCGATTCCCAACCGGAAGTGAAAAATATGGCTGCCCCACAACGTATGGTTTCCGGGTAAAACGGTTTAAAATTCCTCTGGGATATTTGATCCCTAGTCTGCTTCCATCTCGCTTACCAATATTTCATTTTTGTTGTTGAAGGTGATTCAAAAGAATCTTTATGCAGCTCCGTCATTTCTCCAGGTACTCCGGTTTCCTCCCACATTAGGACCCTCGCGCGCTAACATCCGGGCCAACAAGAATGATTAATATAAGTTGAGATATCTTGTTTCATAATTGTTTATTTATATTTTATCTCCGTCATAAGATTCCAAATACAAACTCGTATCTCACGGTTTTCATAAATATATTAAATCTATCACATAGTAACAACCGTGCTTAGTTTGCTATCATCTTTTATTTTGTCGTTAGTCAAATAATTATCGTACCTAACATAAAACTACATATTTACAAATGAAACTAAAAGAATCAACACACATGACAGGGAAACTCGCTAAAATTTGGAAGCATTTTCTTCTTTTGTTGTATTTTAAGTTTTCGTTTAAGCGATATTGTCGACTGGGAAGAGGAATGTGTCTATTTCGTCTAAACCGAATCATGTTATCAAAGCAAAATCTAAATGACACAATAACAGGGTGTCGATGAGAAATGGTAGTGTTCAAGAGACTGACAAATGAGTCCACCGGACAACTTTGATCGTCCCGAGGGTTTTGGGCTCGTGTGCCCGGAGGTCATGTCTCGCGCAATCCTTAGTCGGAAGGTTCACTATAAAATGACAGGTCAATTTCTCCAGAAAAGTTATACCTATTTTACTTCCTTGCTCGTACTAAAATTCTCTAGACAAAGAAGTATTAACTTTTCACCAGCGATCGACACAGCTCGTTGCTTTACCAAATTGTAATTTCTGTTTATGGCTTTCTCCACAAAACGATGAAAAAGGTTTTTAACTGTACGTGTGAAAGAAAAACGGCGACCAAGCTAAACATTGGGCAAAATCGTTGCTGATTGATCACCTGATCGCCTATTACTTTTTACTATTATTTGCGGATCTCCGTTTGGTCAACCCGAAAAAGGATATCAACCTAAGGACAATGAATTTATAGAATACTTGTTCCCAGACTTTCAGATGCAAGATTTCAATTTCATATTTCGCACTTACGCCAAACGTATATCTGTGTAACAAGTGGTCAATTATGACGAGACATGGCTAATGTTATAATCAATACACAATAGCACATATTTGAATAAACACTACTTTTGAAAATAGTTTCATTTTTTTTTGCATAACTCCACCAAGTTTTAATTGTATTCCGATATATTAATTACTTGGTGGAAAGATGTTTTGAAGCAGTGATCTTTAGCCGTGCAGTAAGGGAGCTAACTCCCAACAAGACCAGACTTCTATGGCTTGCTAACTAGTTACCTTTGACGTATCGATTGGAAGGCCATCTGCGAGGAGTCAAAATCTGTGACGAGTCAAAAATTCGAATTTAAATCTTAATCCGATACAACCTCGACATGATTGCGAAATTGTGTCATATATCTCTAAAAAACACACCAGTGTTTGTCCGTTTCAAAATATCCAATTATTTTGGGGGGATCGCCCGTCTTTTCATCTGATGGCTTCAATGTGGTGGCATTACATTTTTCTGTTGGAAATGAATTTGTTTGAAGTTTTCAACACATCTGACTTTTATGGTATTGGATAGATAGGTCAAAGTTATTTATTTTGGCAATTTTATATCCAAATGTCCAGACTCCTGGTCTTTTCATTCTTGAAAGGAAACAGTGACGTCTACTTGTTTTTCTGCGTCACTGTTTGAAGCTACTTCCAGACAGAGTCGTGGATTTTATTGGCCTCACAGTTCAATACATTTGGCCTTAATAGAGACAAAATTGATAGATCTTCACTCAACGAACCTAGAACTTCATCACGACTCAAAGCACTGGTCACCAAGACAAAACTGTCGTCTGATTTTGATTTTATCTTTTGTCTCGTGGCCCTTGAATTTGGGCAAATATAATTTAATTGCCCGTCCACGGGCCAAATATCATGGCTGCCTCGTACTCTGATGTATGCCAACTACAAATTAATTGTTATAATAATTACCTATAAGTTGTTTATCGCTTTTACAGGAAAGACAAGGAGTGGTATTTATTTTCTTTCATAAGTTCTTTGAATGCCAAAGGAAGTAAAACGTCGTTCTGATTCAGTCCAAGTAGCTTCTAAAAAACATTAACCGATCTCCTATCAGTGACTTACAACACCAGCGCCGCCATTTCTCACTTATAAAACTATCCTACATATAGTCAGCAAAAGACAAAAGCTTGGTCAATATAAAACAATAAGAGAAGGCGATATATACTTTAACAAGAACATTTTAATTGATTCAAACGTAGCTTTATACAAACTTCCTTACTGAGGGCACAAAACAAAAAAGCACCTGAACGGTGGGAGTAGCACTAACAAAGTGGTAAAAGTTGGGTCTCGGGTGGTATGTTGTCACCATCAGCACTGAACACATAACCCTGCACCCCATTACTCTCGTTACACATATGTTATAGGTTGACAATGCACAAATATAACTTCCATCCCACGTGTGCAATGTACCCAAACTCCATATGCACACACAGCAGAATGATGAAAGGCAGACGTAGTAGTTGGTGAGAATGTTTCTGTATGTATCGATCTGCTTGAGGTGCAGATTTATTTGATATTCATCTGACAAATTAAGATTTAATACCGCACACAATTTACAGCCTGTGATATACCATTTCTTCATAATCTAACAATCTTGATATATATGGCCTTATTTTCTAACATACTTGCCATCCACGAAGAAAATGGAATACTTCCCTTGATTCAATTTCAGCCCTTAAAATCTGAATTGTATTATTGTAATACAGGGGTTAACTTGGAATAATGAAGTACAAGAACTTAATAATTATCATGATTTACAAAAGACACATATGCAAGTATTACTTCTAACTTCCAATAACTGACTCAAACAAAACAAAAAAAACATCTGTCAGAAATGCTTTGAAACGTTTTTGTAAAAATCCAGATATGAAGTAGTTTGAAAAGATCACAATTGTCAAAAATGTTATGTAGAAACATTCCTTATCTAGTACACAATTAAGTTTGTATGTATACTTGTGATAACATTGATGACTGGTACTGAACTACTAACTAAAGCAGAATGGATACAGAAAACTGATACAGTTTTCTCCAAAATATTATTTTGATTTAATATGATCATATGCACCAATGATATGCTTTTTATGGGTTGTAACAATAATCCTACACCATTCTTTTTCATTCTTCCTGAAAGCACAATTATAATAATATATAGCATGGTGCAAGGCAATGCTACAACACTTTGCATGTGTAGATAAGGGTGAAAACAAGACTTAAGATCAGTATGTAGAATTAAACCAACAACAGCTGGGTTCTTAGTCAGGTTAACAAAACCAGAAATGCAAACAGCATTTGCATTACAAAGTTTATATGATGATGGTGAGAATAAAATGCACACAAGTAACTATGTGAACAAGACACCACAAATGTCTTTATACCTGGTATATTATTATAAACGAATGCATATATGCCAAATCCCTAGTACAGTTAAACATGTTGAAGTTAATATATAGTATACATGGCACTAAAAATACCTTTGTTTTCAAGAATGTATATGAAAATATATGATCTAAATTTGCTAAACTATACATGACAAGAACTTTTGTGACTAATAACTGTCTAATAACTGTCAATACTGGCTATTAATGGCAATGTCAAAAATCTTGAATACAAAAATGAAAATTATGCAGAAGTTGTAATAAAATGAAACCAAAGATTACATGAAAAAAATGAAAATTATGCAGAAGTTGTAATAAAATGAAACCAAAGATTACATGAAAAAAATGAAAAAAAAAGAAAAATATAAAAAATACTCATTCCCACCAAACCAATAAATAGCTAGCCATGAGTCTGTTGATGCTGGTTTCTCAATGAATGCTACAGGTACGCGACTACAGGTCTGTGTATACATGTGTATGTTGTATACGACTACAGGTCTGTGTATACATCTGTATGTTGTATACAAGTGTATTAACTGTAGCATAACTTGCCATGTCGTCGCATCAACAGCTAAAGCCACAGCTAGGCGCGTCTGTGTATAACCACCAGTGTATATAGAGTGTTCAAACTTATACAGCTGCTCTCCAGCACAATCAATGCTCCTGTTACTATAAATCTAAGTTAGCTTTAAGGATTCCCTTACCTCTGCCAAAAATAGAAACTACATTGGACAACAGGTTTTTTCTTGCATAATTATAAAAAAAAAAAAACACTTTTTTAATGAAATTTGAATGAAGATGGGAAAAAAACCAAGAAAGGTCTTATAAGTGTTTTGAGTGTAAAAATGTAACAAGGCCAGATCAGGACTAGAACTCTTGACCTCTGGTCATTATACTGTCACTCAGCTAAACTAACTGGTTAGACATTTAAAAGCAGACTTCAAGTTTGGAGCGCTACACGATCGAGTCCAGTGGAGAGGACCTATAGAGGTCCTGTACTGGAAACTAACTCTAAGTTACTCTTAGTAAGCAAGTCATATCAGGCAAAATGAATTGAAGCAGAATTTATTCAAATTCAAAAACTACAGTGGAACTCTCTAGTGTTTTACCTACAGTGTTAGAGGGATCCTTAAATATTTTTCTTTCTTTTTTTAGATGCTGGATCCTTAAATATTTTTTCTTTTTTAGATGCCAAGTATTAATCTGTATAAATAATCTGATGTAATACATTTTATCGTATGCAATGAGAGAAAATGGATATGTGATATCTGTTTTGTTTATCCTGGTATGATCCATAAAACGTCAATAACAGAATCCTTTTGATCTCAAATCCTACTTTTATCTCCTGGTCTCACATGAGGCTACATCATTCACTTCAAATCTCTCAAACAAAATAAACAAAATTGAACAACATTATCCTAAATTAAACAACATTATCAATCAAAAACATTTCATAAAGATGTCGTCAAAATTGTATTAAACATGGTTTGTATCAACGATGCAGAAATAAATCAAATCTTTATTTTTACGACCTTACAAAACTAAATATAAAAGTTCTTAAACTAGTTGAAGACAAGTTGACTGCAGTAGATATGGTGTGAACAGGTATCAATTTATATACAGAATTAAAAAAAGCGTCATACAGACATGAGAAGAGAGGCATGTCTGGTAGCTATTCAAATTATATATCCTGTTAGTTCAAAAAGCATGTCATTAAAAAACAAAAACAAAAAACAACAGCACACACAACCATACTTCTCCTAAAACACACAGATTCTTAATCCAATAGCGTGAACTTGAACTCACTTTGGTCCTTTCCTCATTCTTCACGACTCCTCACTCTGTGTCGTCCCTTTCCTCATTCTTCACGACTCCTCACTCTGTGTCGTCCCTTTACTAAGTTCTGCTAGGCTAGATTTCCCCTCTAAATCCTCACACTTATCATGTTTCTCCGTCACTACATCATCGGTGTCACTCTGTGTGTCCTGTTCCTCTCCACAAACTGACATTTTAGTTGCAGCAGTATTTGGAGTTTCATCCTCACTGTTATTGTCCTCTGCCTCCTCTTCTTCCTCCCTAGGATCTTCAGACTTGTTTGCCTCCGTGTCTTCATCAAGTTTCTCCATGGAGGTTTCCTCTCCTGATGCTTTGGTCTCTGAATCTGCAGCTGCTACTTTCTGCAATTCTTCTGACACTATTTCCTCAGCAGTCACCGTCTCAGTAGTGCTCTCTAACTCGGCCGATTCCTCTTCACTTGCCTCTACATCATCATCAAAGCAATCTCTATTTTTTCCTGTATCCTCCTTGTCATTACCTACCAGAGAGACCTTTTGAAGATCCTCAGTTACAGATTCACACGTAGCTTCCTGGGTGCTGCCTTCTTCCTCATCCACGTTGTTTTCACTTTCTTCCTCTGTTTTTTCGCTAACATTTTCTTCTTCCACACCCTCATCTAAGGTTTCTTTGCTTTCTTCCTGTACTCTCTCCTCCAAGGTATTTTCATTTTTAGTATCTTCCTTGTGGACGTCATTTTCCTTCACGGAATCCTGTTCATCTTCAGTTTTGATGTCACCTACATTGGACTTCTCAGTTGGTACCTCCAGCCCTCCATCATTGGATTGTACCTCTTTACCTTCATTGTCTTTCTCTTCTGCATCATAGAATTCATCATCTGTTTCCTCTTTCATTTTTTCTGTTTAAAAATAAATGAAAAATTGTACTTTATGGTTTTTAACAATATCTCTGTTATTACCAAAGACTTTTATGAGGCCATCCTAAAACTTTTAGTGCAAAAATAATATTAAGAATTATCATTCAACTTCACAAGAAAGATAAAATCTATCCAGACATATGATTGTAATAGTTTCTATCCAATATCAGAACCAACATGTAATTGAAACAGGATTTTTTGCATTTTATCTTCTCAATCATACATGGTTTCTCCCAAGTTCCTTTTTAAAACTCAGAGTAAACATGAATTATAAATGCTATTATATCACTTCCTCATTTGGAGATCCTGTGAACTGTTACGAACCCCAACTCAATCCATGTCTGACACCGAGATCCTGTGAACTGTTACGTACCCCAACTCAATCCATGTCTGACACGGAGATCCTCTGAACTGTTCTGTACCCCAACTCTATCCATGTCTGACACGGTGATCCTGTGAACTGTTACGTACCCCAACTCAATCCATGTCTGACACCGAGATCCTGTGAACTGTTAGGTACCCCAACTCAATCCATGTCTGACACGGAGATCCTCTGAACTGTTCTGTACCCCAACTCTAACCATGTCTGACACGGTGATCCTGTGAACTGTTACGTTCCCCAACTCAATCCATGTCTGACACGGAGATCCTCTGAACTGTTCTGTACCCCAACTCTATCCATGTCTGACACGGAGATCCTGTGAACTGTTACGTACCCCAACCCAATCCATGTCTGACACGGAGATCCTGTGAACTGTTGTGTACCCCAACTCAATCCATGTCTGACACGGAGATCCTATGAACTGTTACGTACCCCAACTCAATCCATGTCTGACACGGAGATCCTGTGAACTGTAAGGTACCCCAACTCAATCCATGTCTCACAA